GGAGATGCAAATATTAAAAATTAATTCATCAATCTCTGACTAAACACATACATGAAAATACTCACAACAAATGCAAATACAAAATCACACTGCAAGTAGCACATACAACATCAAAAAAGGTGTCGGGGACCCCAATGTAAAAATTGCTTATTAGATTTTATGGAGATGCAAATATCACAACTGTCACAGTTAATAGTTATTAGTGACTTTTCTAATTAAAAGCATAATAATAATGATGATGATAATAATAATAATAATAATAATAATAATAATGTAAAAATCTTTCTGACCCCAGTGAAGAAATAGTTTTTGTATATGCTTTTTTGTTCATTTACTTATTTGGTTAATTCATTTAAACTTTAGACCTTTTGCAATGTAATTTTTTATTATTAATAATAATTTTTTTAATGTTTTGTCTACACTTTAAAATGATGTAAATGTGCAAAAGCCATTAACAGAAACCAAACGTCATGAAATTCCAAAAATTCAAAACTTTCTCAAATCATTGTTCAGCTTTTAAATCATATGCCCTCTCTCTCCCTCTTTCTTTCTCTGTCTGTATATGTGTGTGTGTGTCCTCCAGCACACTGTTACAGGCTTCCAGTGACTTGTGCCTTTGTATTCCTGCAGTCGGGCCTTGTCAAACCAAACAATTAACAATTGTGACACACACACAAATACACATGCACTTACACACACACACACAGACAAACACACATAGCCTGACACTCGCAGTGCCGTCTCTTTCTCTTTCCTGCATTGCTGTTGTGTGTTTGGTGGCGAGGGTCTCTGTCGAGACATTAATTTAAGGTTGGGGGTTTCCGTGACCCCGCGGCGTGTCCAGGAATGTCCTTTAAGTCTCTGAAAGACTTGGGCGTCTCCGCAGAGAGAATAGGCTCTTTCTGCAAGAGATGGATGAATCGAGTTCAGAGGTCTGTGGCGCTTTCTGTCTTTCTGCTGTTTCATTCCAGGCCTTGTGTTTTTCAAATCACTTCATCACTTTAAAGAGAAATGAGGCTTGCAGATTAACTAATTGACTTTTTTTTTTAAGTCTAATTGATGTTTGTTTAAGGCTGCTTCCACTTGTAATCTGTAAATGTGGCTGTAGTTAGTGAAAATGTCAGTATAGGGATCATAGGATGGATTGTGCCTGTTTGAGTTGTTTGACATTGCTGTAGTCATAATATTTATATCATATTTTTTTACTTTATTTTTACATAAATACATGTTTACAAATACATGTACAGTAGGGCTGCACAGCATATCGTTTCATCATTGATATCGCAATGTGCACATCCGCAGTAGTCACATCGCTGGATCTGCAATGTCAATTGTGACTTATTGTTAGTTCCAGACAGAATCTGCGGAATCATGTTTTGCTATTTCTGTGCAGAATTTTGTACAATTGTGGATTTATGTGGAATGATTTTTGGGATTATGGTAACTAATAACTTAATTCAATAAATAAAAAATACCTTTTTAACTTTTATTTAATGTCTACAATGCAAATCCAATCAGATCCACTTATTTGTAAACAAAGCAAGTCTCACAAATAATATATCCACTAAAAGACAGAAAATATTACCTCACAAACTGTATGGTAAATAAATTATATGAACATTTTATATTAGTCAATCATATTACTGTAATTAATTTCAAATCTAAATAAATATAATTTACACACATTTACACAAGTAAATAAATAGACTCAATGATAAGCTAAAAATCTGCGGAAATGGTGAAGACTGCCAAGTGTCATTTTACATTCAATTTCTTTTAATAGTTGTGTCCAACTGTCGTTAAGACTTACCAGTCAAATATATATATAAATATATATATATATATATATATATATATATATATATATATATATATATATATATATATATATACATATATAAAAAAAAAATTTTAATCTCATTTGTATAGTTTTTCGCACCAGAAAAACTAGTTTAAAGTTAAATTCTAGTAATTTATCTCCACTATAACATTCTGAAATGGTGAATTCTTCACAGAAATCCATTTGGTGTAATATATTTCATATTGTAATTTACTGTATATCGATGAAAAACTAAATATTGCAATGTCGTATATTGTGCAGCCCTAACTTATAGTTATTTGTTAGGTTTGTACTTGTTTTAATTTGTCTCTTAACCTAAAATCTTTGAGTTTACACCTTCTCTCTGAGACTTTTTTGCTGTATTTATTAATCATTGAGTTCTGTTTTTATTAATATTATTATTAATATTAGTAGTAGTAGTAGTAGTAGTAGTATTTTACATATGTATCATTTAATTACCATTTAATTATAAAATACATGATTAAATTCATTTATTTTTGTGCTTTGTTGTTATTAAAATGTAAAATTATTATTTGACATACTGCAAAATGGATTTGCCTGCACTGCAAAAATAAATAAATAAATAGAAATGCTTTTATAGTCCAAATATCTAAATATATCTATATCTATCCTTCAACATCTATTAAGTTTTAAATTAATTAACTTCATTCATTCATTCATTCATTCATTCATTCATTCATTCATTTATTCTTTATTCTTTAATTTATTCTTTTTTATATTCATTAAAATGAGTAAAATAAAATATATTTTTTATCTTATTTATTTGATTGATTAAATTTTTTTTAATTAATTTTGTCATTTAATTTTTTTAATCTCTTTTGTTTTCATATTTAATTCGTCAAATCTACTTATTTCCTAAACCAGATTAATTAGCATGACACTGTCAGACCAGCACAGTTTATCCCGAATAAAAAAAAAAAATCTGATTCCTTTGATACAGAAAATAGTGCTTAATTTACATCAAAATGTCCTTGGAGTGAAGCACACTTATAAGAGAAGAAATTCTAGTGCTTTTCTTGAAGACTTTACTCAAAGAATACTTACTGCGATAATTAATCTCATGAGGAAATGCTTATGAGCAGAGAAGCGTTTATTTATCTGATGTTTCTTCATTTTCATATCATTTGAAGGGCAACAGGCAGGTTGGCCTTCGATCAGCAAAGCAAACTTAATATTAAATCTTGTAGACAGTCCTGCTGAGGCAGTTTTTTTATTATTATTTCTGGGTGGTTTTGTTGTTTGTTGGCTGGTAAAGAAGGAAATGTGAGCATGTTCGGGGTCGATATTTCTCTCGCTCAGAGCTCTGATGTGGAAGTGAAACAAGCGGCTGAAATTCCTCATGAACTCGCTGAACCGGCAACATGAGCGTCTGGAGGTCGCACACTGATCCAGCTCAGTTTAGACAATTTAGCCGGTCAAGATTTTTGGTGCATTCGGATAGAAGAGTTGAAAAGGATGATGAGGTCTGAGTTTTCACGTGCTGTCAAATACCACAAACTATAATTTAGCCCGTTTTCAAGAATCAGAAACAGGAAAGGGTAATGCAACTTGAAATTTTGTTTCCTATTTTTTAAATTTTTAAACTTTTTTAACTATATATATATATATATATATATATATATATATATATATATATATATATATATATATATATATATATATTTATATATATATATATATATATATATATTCAGTGTTTAAGTGAAATATATTCAGTGTCAGCAGTTAAGGGTTTCAGTAAAATATTTTCTTTAAATTCAGCATTTTTTAGCTGGTTTCTTAATTTGTTTTTACTATTTACATTAATACAAATAAATTAAAAGAAAAAAACAGCTGTTGAATCCTTTAGTATTTTTTTGTTCCTACAATTTTTTGTTCCTATTATAATTGTCAATGACTGCTTTTTTTTTCTAACATTCATCCGAAGATATCTTTTTGTTCAAAAGGTTTAGAAAAAAACATTAAACGTGTTCACCCACACATTGTAATTCTCTCAGTATATATTTATTTTTTATTCACCTCAAAGATATAATGAAGAATTCAGTAAATAAATAAATAAACAAACAACTGATGAATCCTACAGTATTTTTTTCCTATAGTTCCCACCATTTTTGTTCTTAATATGGGTATCAATGACCACTTTTTACCAACATTCATCTGGACATATCGTTTTGTTTATATAATGATATAAAGGTTTAGAAACTCGTTGTTTTTAGTGAACCATCCGTTTAAGATGGTCTCTTTACTTAAAATTCGTATGCTTTCTAATTATATCAAATTAAATGCATTTTAAATACATAGATAAAATACATTACACACATAAACTGTTGATCCACTTACACAGTTTTTGACCCATAAACAAACAAAGAAACACAAAATTGTGTTTTCAGTAATGCGCTGACAATGAAAGTCTACTTGATGCATTCAAATCACTTCAAAAATCACCTTTTTTTTGTTGTTTTGGAAATGTTTGTCATTTAAAATGTTCTGCTTTATATACATAATTTGAATGACATAGTAATGAGATGAACTAAAAAAAAAATATTGCAAAAAAAAAAACAGTTTAGTGTATCTTTGACAAGGCACGTTTATATATATATATATATATATATATATATATATATATATATATATATATATATATATATATATATATAAATATATATATATATATGTATGAAGTGAATTTGTAAAACAATAATAAAAGAAGCATAAAGTCATAGCTGAACAGATGTGTGTTAAGGTTAGTAATCTTAAAAAATATTAAAGAGTGTATTTTTTATAATTGTCTCATTCATCAGTGCCTCCTTTGTTGGCGACCATTGAAAACTTCCATTTTGTTTAGTTTTATGAACTGAGGACCGTCTGCTATTTTCCACCGAACTCGTGGCAGCCTCAGAAATGTACCTGCTCAGGACTGTAAACACAATAGCGCACACATGCTGAGTGTAATAACACTGTTGTGATTTTAATCAGCGCTTGTGTCTCACTGTCTTCCTGCTTTAATGAGGAGCAGTTGTCGATCTGTCCGGCCCAAATTCACTCTCGCTGTGAGCTCCGAGACCAACCCTTTTCACCCGCCATTTTCCAGACCACCGTTTTCACATTTAACGCTCATTTATTTCTTCTGTCTTTGCAGTAACGGTACAGCTGGGAAGATGAACGGCGCTCTGGAGCATTCAGACCAGCCTGATCCGGACGCCATTAAGATGTTCGTGGGTCAGATTCCTCGCTCCTGGTCCGAGAAAGAGTTAAAGGAGCTGTTTGAGCCGTACGGAGCCGTTTACCAGATCAACATACTGCGAGACCGCAGCCAGAACCCACCACAGAGCAAAGGTAGAGCACGTTTCTTGTCTTTATGCATCACACATGTAGACCTGCTCACATGTGTACTGTGTTAAAGCTTGAGCATATGACTTCCTGTTTTGATTTCTCATTTCCTGTATGTCTTTGTGTCGCTTATTATTCCATCTTTTTAAAAAGGTTGAGTTGGGGTTACACATTACAAATAATTGGATTACTTTTTTCAAGTAGTGCATTATTTTAATGAACGAAAATATCAGACTTTTTTTCATATAAACATTACAAAGCTCACATGTGTCATGTGTTATAGCTTAAGCATCTGACTTCCTGTTTTGATTCTTTATTTCGTGTAGCTCTGTTTTTGCCATGCTTTTGTCATCCAAATCTTTCTAATATTCCATCTATCAGTAGTGTTGGGGTAATGCATTAAAAGTAATCCGATTACTTTTTTTAAAAGTAACAAGTAACACATTACATTTTTAGCGAATCTGTTTTTGTCGCTTTATACATATTAATATTGTTTTGTTATTCCATCACAAAAAATGCTGCTTTTAAAACTGCCAGTGTTTAAGACAACAGATTACAAGTAGTCAGACTACTTTTTTTACAAGTAGTGCATACATTTTTTTTTTTATTGACTGAAATATCTGATCTACTTTTTCACATAATCATTACGCTGCTTACATGTGTCATATGGTATAGCTTAAGCACCTGATTTCCTGCTTTGATTCATCATTTTCTGTATGTCTGTTATTGCCTTGCTTTGTCCATCTATATCTTTCTAATGTTCCATCTCTCAATAGCAGTTTAGTGTTTAGGGTAATGCATTAAAAGTAATCTTATTACTTTTTTTAAAGTAACAAGTAACACTTTTTTATCTTTTGTTGTTGCTTCATTCATTCATTCAGTGAGTCATTCTTTCATTCATTGTTTTATTTATCCACTGCAAAAAAACAACATTTTTTTAAAACGATCAGTGTTTGGGGCAACGGATTACAAGTAATCTGATACTTTTTTGGAGTAACGCAATCATTGTTTAGTTGACAATACAATATGTAACCTATCTCTTTCACATAAGCATTCCTCTCCTCATGTGTAATGAGTTATAGCTTAAGCATGTGTCTTCCTGTTTTGATTCTTCATTTCCTGTAGGTCTGTTTTTGCCTTCCTTTTGTCATCCAAATCTGTTACTGTTGCTTCATTCATTCATATTTATATTGTTTTATTATTCCATCGCAAAAAAAGCTGCTTTTAAAACTGCCAGTGTTTAAGGCAACGGATTACAAATAATTACATTGCTTTTTTTTTATAAGTAGCGCATTATTTTTCTGACTTTCTGACTTCCTATTTTGATTTTTCATTTCCTGTAGGTCTGTTTTTGCCATGCTTTCATCATCCAAATCTTTCTAATATTCCATGTGTCAGTAGCTTTTACAAGTAATCTAATAACTTTTTTTAAAAGTAACAAGTAACAGATTACATTTTTTTTATTGAATCTGTTTTTGATGCTTTATTCATTCATTAATTAACTCATTCATTCATTTATTTATTCATATATTGTTTTATCATTCCATCTCAAAAAAAGTTGTTTTAAAAGCTGTCTGTGTTTGGGTCAACGGATTACAAGTAATACGATTACTTTCTCAAGTAGCACTTTTTTTTTAATTGATGAAGATATCTGACCTACTTTTTTCACATAATCATTACGCTGCTCACATTTTTCATGCATTATAGCTTGAGCACCTGACTTCTTGCTTTGACTCTTAATATCCTGTAGATCTGTTTTTGCCTTGCTTTGTTCATCCATACCTTTCTAATATTCTAATATAATAGTAGTGTTGGGGGTAATGCATTAAAGGTAACACATTACTTTTTTATTTAATCTGTTTTTGTTGCTTCATTCATTCACACATGCATTCTTTGATTATTCCATCGCAAAGCTGCCGGTGTTTGGGGCAACAGTTTACAAGTAATTGCATTACTTTTTTCCCCAAGTAGCGCATTATTTTTTGTAATTGACTGAAATATCTGATCATTACGCTGCTCACATGTGGCATCCATTATAGCTTGAGCATGGGACTTCTTGTTTTGAGTCTTCATTTTCTGTAGGTCTGTTTTTGCCTTGCTTTTTTACAAGAAGAAGATCCACATCTTCCTAATATCCCATCTCTAAAATGCTGTTTGAAAACTGAGTAGTGTTGGGGGTAATCCATTACAAGTAATCCAAATACTTTTTTATAAGTATAAAAAACAAACAAATAATTTGTTTTTACTTTGGAAGAAAATACCTGAGCTACTTTTTGTAATATCTGATGTTTGATATACTGTAGCTTATGTCTGACTTCCTCTTAAGTTGTTTTCATTCATTCATTCATTCATTCATTCATTCATTCATTCTGTCATTCAGTCATCCATTCATTCATGTATTATTATAAATTGTTTGCTCAAATGCTCTTTTAACAAATACAAAATTTGACATTTTCTATTGGAAGTTGGTGGCAACAGATTACAAGTAAACCAATTACTTTTTTAAGTAACAAGGTACTTTTTATTTTCCAAAACATTCCTGAGCTGCTTTTTCAAATATTCACTTTTTTATCATCACGTCTACATGAAATTGTGGATAAGTACAGTTTGTTGGTTGTGTGAACATGCTGGTTACTGTACAACACTAAAATGGAGTTTTCAAAGCAATGCTATTGAAAAACCATATTGTCTTTTCTTAGCTTAAAGAACATTTTACTAATTAATAATTTACATTTTCTATAATAAATAACCTTTAGTTCTACCAAGGTTTTGTTCAGTTTATTCTGGGAACCATCAATGGAAATAAAGAACCTTTCATTTCAAGTGTGTAGTTCTAGACTTAATGTGAACACAGTTACTCATCTCTTTATAGCTATTATGCTTTCTAAGAATTTGATGGAAATATAGCTATTGACTTTTATAGTATTTGTTTTTGCTTCCATTTATGTCAACAGTGTCGGTTGTCCTCAAACATTCCTCAAAATATTTTCTTCAGATATTCAACAGAAGAAAAAATCTCTTACTGTTTTGGAACCACATTGTAAAATGATCAGTAATCGCCATAATAATGTATATAGTGTTAATTATCACGGCAAGTGATCTTCCAGCATCACATGTCTGCTTGTGAGGTTGAGTTTTGGCGTGGGCTGCAGACAGCGAGCAGCGAGCGGCTCTCTGGGTTTCAGAATAGCGCTCAAGCGTAGGCGTGAACCTCGCTTCTGTGGAGTTGTTAACACTCAGACAGGAAGATGGCATGTAGACGCTGGCAGTGCCGCCGTCCTCTCGCTCTTATATGGAGGATGAGTCAGGGCCGAGTGGGTGAGCATTACTCAAGTCCTGGACTCGGGCGTCACTGTCGGAGCGAGGTGTGTGATTGGCTTTCAGACGGCCGATTGAGTGCTCCTGTAGCTCAGTTCACTCAGGTCCGGCTTCATCAAGGCCTCAGTAATGGCCAACGCTAGCCTTCAGTGCCACTCCAACCCATTTTCATTTAGGTAAAGGTCGCCCGCGTGTGGCTCCGACTTTTAAATTAGACAGTATTGAAAGATTGAGCATTAACTTGCTGTGTCTTTCCCTGTGGTGTCTGACAATTAGAAACGATTTGTTTTGGACATGTTTCTTTAATGGAGGATCGTTTTATATATCTTTTGAAATTATCAATTATTCGCTGGATTTTATTTACAGAAGAGTGCCCGGGAACTGGACTTAATTTGATGTGTCCTAAAGCAACATATACACTCATTGTTTGATGACCTAAGATCTTGGTCAAAGTCACACACACACGCACATACACACACACTTTTATTTTTGGTGACTTTGCATCTATGCGGCTGGCTAGTTTAATACAGCTAGTTTAATATCTGCCCACAAATGAATACAACACAAGTAGGTTATTTATTTACTTCATAGGTTATCAATTGTAAGTAATGGGTTATTTATTTTAAATAATTTAATAAAATTTTATATATATATATATATATATATATATATATATATATATATATATATATATATATATATAGTCTCAAAAGTTATGCTTATTATTCATTTTTATAAATACATTTATTTGTTCATTCATTCATGTCTTTTGTTTTTTTTTCCATTTATTTTTAGTTTAACAAATCAAATTCATTCCACAATATGCAATATTAATATAAACCAAACCAAGCATAATATTAATGTAAATTATCTCTGTCGTCAGTTCCCAGACATATACTAATCATATAAATATGCCAAAACACATTGAGTTATGTCACACTGATTTTGGGGTAAAGGTGGACAAAAAAGAGCAAGTGTCTTCTATCGCATTCTATCATTCATGCAGTCAAAATTACAATTCAGACAACTAGATTACAATGCAAACAATCTAATTTCACATATGATCTGCGGAGAACATATGCTGGATAAGTTGGCGGTTCATTGCGCTGTGGTGACCCCTGATTAATGAAGGGACTAAGCTGAAAAGAAAATGAATGAATGAATGAATGAATGAATGAAGATTCAAAGCTGGACGTCACGTTCAGCACCCCACATGTGTGTGTCCCTGTCGGGCCACCATACTCTGAATATCAGCGGGGAGGTGCATCCGAAACAGACGACCTCACTGATCGCCTGTGTGTGTGTGTGTGTGTGTGAGGAGCAGAATATAAATGCACCCAGAGGTGAAGAGCAGGAATTGTTTATCAGAGCCGTGCTTCACACATACACACACACACACACACACACACACAGACTGTCCCTTGTTGATTGAGCGATGCGAGAGCGAGTCCAGGGCTAAATGGCCCTGAGCAGCTGGGCTTCTTTAGTAAAGATGTATTCCTGTCTGCCTTTGAAGTCCGTCACACACACACACACACTCACACACACGCACACACACACACACACGCCTACACGCTCGCAAGATGAATGGATGCATTTGTGTGTGCATCGCTTTCAGTCCCCGGACACGTTGCACAGCCACTGAATGATACAAGTGTGTGTGTGTGTGTGTGTGTGTGTGTGTGTGT